TATGTAAACGCATTATGCTTATCAACTTCAACTCCAATTCCTAAATAATAACAATAACCAACTTGATACATTCCGTTTGTATCATTCATGTCAGCCGATTTTTTATAATATATGAATGCCTTTTTTTCATCCTTTTCAGTTCCAATTCCATATTCGCAACAATAACCAACTTGATACATTCCGTTAGGATTATTCATCTCTGCAGACTTTTGATAATGAATGAATGCCTTATCCTCATCCTTTTTAATTCCAATTCCATATTCGTAACAATAGCCGAGCCAAAATACTCCATCCGCATCAATTGGTTGCCCTATTGTATTCAAATAAGGTGTTGCTTTTATTTGATTTTCTGGAAGAAAAATAACGCACCATTGGAGTAAATATTCTTCATTGTAGTTGTGTGAATATTCTTCATTTTCATCGTTGTTGTTATCGTAATGACTTCTTTTTTTACCATCGATTGATATGTTAATTACAACTTTGTCATGATAATTTTGAATGTTAGAGGTTAATTTTGTCTCACAATCTGACGGAGGGTATATAATATTTGTGCATATTATTGAACCTGTTGGAAGATTTTTAGGAACCTTTAATGGGATTTTCAAGTGTTCTTCGTATTTAAATGGACGTTCATTTGAGAAAAATACACGAATTTTTCGTGTGTTTCTACTATAATATCTAATTTCCGAAGGCAACCCAATCAACATCCAGACTATTTGAGAGTTTCTAATAATATGAATATGAATATAAAGTATCAGATATTTTGTTAATAAATTTTGCAATTTAAAAAGTATATGAAAAATGATATTCACCCCGTTATGTTAAAATTTTCGATTACTATGGAAAACCCGGATATACTCATAGATTGAAATTTAATTACTGCTGTATTAATTGGATTATTTTGCGATACAAGTTTTCCAAAAATTTTATAATTACTGGATTTAAAAGTCTCAGGGAATTTTACACGATAATAGTTAGTAGAAGCTTTGATAGAAACTGTTCCAGTAATAAGAACTCTGTCTTTAACTTCTATTTGATTATCAATTCCAAGTATAAATTCAATTTCTTCTTGAAGAGGCTTATCTAATATTTGGTATAATGGAAACAATTTCAAATCGACAACCTGTAATGGCTCGTCATCTTTTAAATTAGATACCCATTCATGAAGACTATCTTTCTTAACAGTATTTCCATTGATTGATGTCAAGTAAGATACATCAAAGTATGGTCTAATAAGATTTCCCCATTCATATAAAATATCATTACACGTTGCAGAATCATTAAAATCTATTAATTTTGTATGCAATTCCTGTCCGCACATTTCAATTAAATAACATATTTTAGATAATTTATACCCGAAAATAACCCTTTCACACAAAAAATATCCATAAGATTTAAATAGATCCATTAATTTATCGTAGGGATTATTATTTTCCAGTGAATCTTTTACTAAATTATTTAGCTTCTCAGAGGGTTTTATTTTTTCGAAAACCAACTCTGCATGTGGGCACAATATCGCTAGATAAACTGGAAATGATTCGTCGACGATATCAAAAATCCAACCATCGTATTTTGAATCAATAGTGCGAGGATCAACATGGTTTTTCAACAGAAATGCATCTTTAGGTTTTGTGGAAAACACCAATTTAATTTGAGATCTTTTAGTCGAATCATCAAATTCTATAATTTTATGTTGAGCTTGAAAGTCACATGCTAGACAATTAGCAGGTAGTATTCCTCGTTTGTTAATAAACAAACCATGATTAAAAACTTGACCTTCAAATTTTACTTCCTTTGACATGATTCGTCTTTAATGAAGGGAATTCAAATAATTTGCGCAAGACAGCAAGTTAAAAAGGAATTTATTAGGTAATAATAATTCGTATTACGTTACATTACATTATCAATGGTCATAAGACCTCAGGTAAAACAATATATATCGATATGAATTTGAAAATCATTCCATGAATGAAGTTCATATCGAGATACAATGACCGAACGCTTGCCAAATTTTGCTTCTATATTCCAATTATTTTTTAAAAGCTCACCAAGCTCACCTTCTAAAGAAGACCAAATCCTGACCAATTTGCTTGAGAAATGTGATCGGGGATTCAAATTCGATGAAAATAAATCTATTATTTCAGCACCATATAAAGCAATTAAGATTAAAACTGATAAGAACGAACTGATAGAATTACGTTTGATTAATAATGAAACAAGTTTTGTGAAAGAATGCAAGCATGAATTAGACATTTTTTGCAATAAAAATCTCATATTAGGTGGGAAAATTAAAGTTGGACTACCTTGGCTTTCTATTTTTTTTGGAATATCACATGATAAAGTTAAGCAAAAGCTTAAGAAATTTGAAAAATCCATTAAATACTCGCAAGAAATCTGGGAAAGAGCAGAAGTAATATTTTCAAAATCATGTATAGTACCAACTGATGATTTAATTAAAGATGTAAATGATGCATTGAGAGAAAATACTACTAAAAAGAAAATAGATGCGCTTCGTGAAATATCAGAAAAATATGGTAGTTTTTATGCATGCCGTCTTATGTTTGGTAAGGCAATAGTCAAAGTAGTAAAACATGCCGAAAGCACAGGTAAATATTTTATTCTTAGTAAAACGATATTTTGATAAATTGAACTTATTGTTGCTTTGAATATAGATAAAAGTTCAAATACCAGTAGTATCGAAGTACAGGGCGAAGTCAAACCCACGGAGATGGCCAGTATGGATATAAATTCTACTTACAGAACTCATAATGAATCAAGGAGTTTCGATAGTTACTCAACTTCAGACACTAAAAAGATTGGTGATCTAGAAAATTATACTACGTGGGATATAATTGGATATGACGAAATTAAGTTGATATTTGATTTGTTGGATGATAGTTTACGGGAAAAAGTTTTAGATACTTTGGGTCACCGAATTTTATCATCGAATTTTATTTGTTTAGAATCCAATTTTGAAAATTCCGAGCCATATACTTATAGATTAGGAACTCCTCAGACGAAAATTGAAGATATTCGTGAATGTCAAATTTTTGCGTCAATTATGAATAATAATGAGGAAGATACCTTTTCATTGCGCGTTAATTATATTGATGAATACACTCCAGAAATCGTTGTTCATCTAATTCCTCGTGAGAGCAAAAATAGATTAATTTCTAAGTTTAGAAAAAGTAAATACCATAGATTTAAACTCAGCTGGGTTGTAGTTGGGCAACCAAAAGATTTTGATTTTGACATGGCAGACTATCCAATTATACTAAGAAGTTATAAATATTCAAATTTTAATAAAGAAGATGATTTTATAAAAATTTCTTTTAGTGATATTCCAAAATTTAGAGAAGAAATTCAAAAATTTCATGAAACTTGCATATTGAGCACTTGTGTATTAGAATCGAGCACTGGGAATAATAACTATCCATTTGAAGCATCAATTGTTATTGGCACACATCTTTCACTTTTAAATTATTCCGCATGTTTGTACACATATAATTTAAGCGATAATAACCACATTGATGAAAATATTTTACAAAGGCGTTCATTACACATTTGGTAAGATAATACATGTGTATTATTTTTATTTAACACTTTTAAATCTTTTTAAATGACTTTATTTCGTTTGGATTTGTCATTCTTAATAGTGCTGTTGATGTAGACTTCTCGTACGAAATATCTGGTCAGAAAAAACTTAAATGGAATAAAAACGTTTCAGATGAAGAAATCTTCCCCGAAAATGGAAAGAAAAATGCTAAAAATAATGAAAGGGAGGAAATTTTAATATTAATAAATCAAATTTTAAATTGTTCAGAAGGATGTGTATATCATGGCTCCATAAATATATATCTTGAAAAAATTATTTATGGACCGTTTAATTCTCGTGGCATGGATTGTGTGGGAGGAATAGCATATCTAAAAATCAAACCTAATGGTCATTAAACTACTTATTATAAAATATTGAAGGAGTTTTTCAAGCATACAACTGCTTATATGATACTGAATATAGCGGTTGTAAAGTAGCCATTATGATTGTGAAAGAGTTAAGAATTACAATTTTAATTTATTAGAGAAATTTTATTATAGCTAACAAAAAAGTGATATATTATAGCCAGAACCCGAATTTTAATAAATTATTTTAAATTTAATAATTGTAAAGAAAGAGTTTCCTGTTTATTAGTATTATTATTATTCTGTACGAACATCGAGCCTTTAATCGTGGTTGTTAGTGGTATGCTACCGCAATAAATCACCGGTGAATTTTGTTATGAATTACGGTAGACATGAAATGCGTTATTTGGGATGATAGTAGACATGAAATGCGTTATCTGGGGTGATAGTAGACATGAAATGCGTTATTTTGATTGTAGAATTACTTAAATCCGGTCCCTAAATCTATTAGGTTTGCGAGTTTTCGTTTTGCATAATTTTTTAAATTTTTAAAAAAATTTAAATAAATTTGTTGAATTTTTCTTACTAAATTATATTAAGTTAAAATTATGCGTATGCTTCATTACACGAACAATAAAAGTAATTAATATTTTAATGTATTTACAGTATTTATGGAGGCGTAAATTTGTGATAGAATAGTCTTAAACAGAAAAATGTCTCAAATCAAATTGATCTTTTTTCCCTTCAATTGATCATGCAGAAAATAATGAGTAATATCCTCATAAAGTTAGTACATAGATGTCGTTTGAGCTAAGTAAGAAACTCAAGTCGGTGGTCACTTTTCTGCCATGACTATCCTATTATAGATTTGTTTCTAAGATAATGGTAAAAAAGTAAAAAGAATGTCTCTAAAAATAAGTTCCAAAATCAAATAACTTTCATGAGTATATTTAATTTACAAGTGATATATACTAATTTCGAAAAGACCAATTTAAAAGTGTTTACCAATCGAAACTACGTAAAAATACCAAAAATGATAAAAAGCTAGGCGAATTTAATAGTAATAACAAAGAAAACTATCTTTGCCACAATGGTATATAAGACAATTTTCTAAAACGTGGAGAATTGTGTTTGTATAATTCTTCTAACGGTTAATATATTTTAAATAGAGTGATATCTATTTATTGAAAATTTTTGATATTTAATAGTCTTTTATAGTCGCCACAATGGATATTTTAAGACTATACAATAATAATGCGAGCCCCCAGTGGAGTTAGAGAAACACTCGTAAACTTACCCTTGCAAATCGATGGCACCCTAAATGATTTAATCCAGTACCTAGATTTTAGTGGAATAATACATACGTGCATACGTAGTAAAATGAGATACGTGATAATTGTGACAATAGGGACAATGAGAACGACTTTCGTAAAGTGATCATGGTATTCAAGAAAACTTTATTATCTAAGCTGAAATGTTTGTGTTAAATTAGGCATTATTAAAAACAATAGGAATAGTGTATATTGCATAATGCTTGAACGAATCAATCCAATAACGATAAAGATAATTACTCACTTGACTTAATGCACGATAGTAATGATAAATTCTATATGAATATAATAATTATTTGAAAGTTTAAATAAAAATGTTAAGCAGAAAGATGCACTTTGAATTTCCAGATATAGCACAATAAATCAGTGAAGACAAGAAAAAGAGGTTGATCAACATGAAGAGATCACGGAACCTGAAAAAAACGTTTTAATATTGAGTCTCCAAACGTTTCTGACATGTTTGATTTACTGGATGCTTCACAACTGGGAACAGGATATCTCGATCAACAACTATTCAATAAAGCGATGGATTTATTTGAAAAAAAGTACTAATAATTATACGTGTAGGAAAATTTACAGAGGATTTAAACTCATAAAGGAAACTATCCACAAATTTTAATAACTAGAACTTAAACTTTGGATAATGTCTAGTATTTAAAATTCTTCATTTTACATATTCTTTTCATATTATTTCTAGATAATAATTATGTATCTAACATCAAGAGCATTTCTCAAATAAAAAGCATTCGATCCTTTTCAAATTTATAAACTATTAAATGATTTATTATTGTCGCGGTTGATACTGAAATTAGCTGATGTTTAAATTTGGACCTGTTTTAATATGAAAATTTAAAAAAATTTTGGAGTGCTTTTCCGCTTTTTTTTTTAGGGTTGGGTTAAGTTTTGAGGTTAGAATTGATAATTAAGGAGTATAAGTGGATTTTAGCAGGGTCTATATTTTTAAATCGCACCCCAAATTTCAGCATTAACCACGACAATTATTAGATTCAATGGTACAATTTTTTCAACCTGATTATCGTAAATTACTATTAAATAAAAACAATCCTTAGTATGGTGAAATCGAATCCATGTTTAGTGACAAAGTAGTCTAATTATGACAAAGAAAAAAAAAATACTTAACTTCGGAACAATACGATACATTATAGGATGTATTTAGTACAATATATGCCTGTATTTTGCTAAGACCAAAATTTATGCTGTAATTGACAGCTAATACTGTTCACCATACCGTAAGTGCTAGAAGTGATCCTACCTTATCTTCGTGAAATAACATTCAGTGACATTATTTCTGGATACAGAATTTGAAGAGAGCCAATAATTAATTTAACCGAATGTAAATCATAATTTTGTTATTAAAAGCCTTAGATAAATTAATAACGTGTATTAGTTCTCTTTAAACAACGTATCCAGAAATAACGCCCCTAGGCATTATTTCTCGATGATACTGTAAAGTTAATTAGATTTATTATATCATTATTATTCTATTAATATTCTTAGAAGTAGTAATTTGATAGATTAAATAAAATTAAAAAATATTTTAATCGATCAAATAAAATTTATAAATTACGATTTAGATTAATAATATTTAAAATAGCCAACAAACACAAAGTTCTTTGATTCAAATTGGCTTCATTTTCATCTAATTATAATACTTCACAATAACCTTTAACAATTTAACCGAAACTCCCAAGAGAAGTGTGAGATTATGTAAGGAAAGTAGCGTTCACTGTAGTGCAAAATGTAATCTTAGGCATGTTACAAAATATGTATCTATTTATTATAATTAATAAATTATTATTAAAATTTATCTCTTAAACGGATTTCCAGGCAATTTTGCGCGATTTATCTGTGAGCAAATTAGCAAATTATATTGGATTGTAGTCTATGGTGTTCTCAAGCATCTCTTTCAATGGACTCGATAAAGAATCTAATTGACCCGTTTGATAAGACGGGCCAATCAGACTTGTTGTTGTCCTATTATTCTTGCTCAGATTTCATGTTAAACACTTACTTTATTAGACTTTTGAGGTTACATGATGGGAATAGTGCTCCACTTTATCACTTTCTCTTCTGCTATTACATAATGTGCTCAGTAACAACTCTAATTTCACGCTATATGTTCACGTGACGAGGATCGAAAGTACGGGCCCACACTATGGTGCTATGCATTCAATTCGTTACACATGACATTGGTAGCGGAAGTCGAGACCGGTCGGGATGGTCACCACTCGGATACAACACACAAAAGACTACGAGAGATTTGGCAAGGCAAAGCGTATTGGTTTGTTTCAGGGGTACGAAAAGATATACGAAAACGAAGGACTTTAGGAGAAAAAAGGAAGTGTGGAATTTTATTTACAATGGATTCGAATTTTTATTATTTGAAATCAAACATTGTTATTGTTACAGCTCAAGAGAAATTCGACTTTATTTAACAAAATTTGAAAATACATGACGAAAAAAAGAACAAAAGAATTCACGCACTCCATCACGCCATCATTACTGATTCTAACGCGATTACACCTACCCATCTTTTTCCCTACGAAAACATCAGCGACATATTTACACGGCCACACGATTTACCCGATTTGTCTTTGCAATTATTTGTTTACATCGACAACAAAAATCACGTCATTGCACTTTTCAGCTTTGCTTGGTTCTTTTGTTTTTGTCAAGATTTACACCTCATCTTCCATTCTTCTTTATCATGGTCTTGGGGGCAATCCCGATAAGGGATCCGATCGACAACAATCACTTCGTAGACACAACATTTCAATGACAATTACTTACCGACAGTTTATTTCTCCGAATCTCGTTTTGCAGACAAAGTAATTCTGGTCAATATCATTAGGGTCATGTTAAAATTAGAGTTAAAGTTAGTGTAATTTATAAAAAAAACTTGTCGGTGAAATGTGGTGTCTTTGAAGTGATTGTCGGTAAGTCCTAGTCGTGATTCAGCCACGATTTTTCTCATATCTTTTATCGTGGAGCTTTTAGGGGCTTGGCTTGATTCATGTTCCTTCGAGGCCGGGAGCCGTTCCCGTTCAATGAAATGTGTAAGTGGTCGGGTTCTACGATTAATGAAGTTTTTTTTTTGCCACAATTCCTGTATCTCGTGACATCACGGGATCGTCGATTTTGCAGCTAACACCAACTTATAACTTTTATAAGATAGCGAATTCGAGCCCACGCTATGGTGTGGCACATTCAACTTGCTACACATGACAACGAGCAGGGTGCTAGGTGCAATAAATGAGTTGGACGGGGCCAGATTGCATCGGGAATCGGAGAGAACAAGTGACAAGGCAAGCGAAGTAAGAAATCACTGAGATTCATCATTTGCTCCCACATGTATTTTTATAATCTCTGTCACATGCACCAACATGCATATCCATAATCTCTATCGCAAACAATCATATGCGTTGACACTCTAAAATCGATGAGTCTGTTGCTAGAACGAGAGTAGCCAACGTTTAGTTTAGGTTAGGTCGAAAAGGCGTGTTAGATTTGGCTGAGTGGTTAGGTAGGGTTCCGGGATGGTTTTAGGGAAATAATAGTCTTAGTGACAACTTTATTGAACGTAGGATTTTGTTTAATGATAAATTTGTATGTTTTTATAGAGACAATTGTATGATTATGATATTATTAAAACATAAGAAGGATTTGTTCTTCCCGAAGGGCCAAAAGTCCTTTATTTATAATTGTGAATTCAACTATTTACATTTGCAAAAATTTTCTATATTACTAGAATCCTCATTAAACCTCAAATTGGCTTTATAGCAGAAACACCAGCATTATTAGAACTTACCATATTACCGAAATTATCCCAATTCTCCCATTATTCGCTTTCCGAATTTCTGCCAGATCGGTAGTGATGGGCAACGCGCATGATCCCGCGCGTGATGCGCAGGATTCAAAAAATCCCGCGCGGGATTTTTAATATAAGATTATCTGCCTACATTAATATATCCGGCCTGCATTAACATAAGTGGGCCAATTTCTAATTAGTAAGCATATTACCGTATTTTATACTTAATTTTTATTTTTATTAAATATTATTATACAGTAATTAATTTATTTATTTAATTTCTAACTTATAAATTTTAAAATTTAAGGCGAATCTGAATTGATAGAATTAATAATTATAAGATTCAATTACTTTAAGCTTAAATTGTATAAGAAATTTCTATATATGATTTAAAGTAGGCAAAATCATATAAGCATTTTTTTATTTATAAAAGATGCAGTAAGATTTATAAGAAATAATTATTATTTTTACAAGAAATTATATTCACAGTGATGACCTTTTTATATATTTTTATTATTCGTGAGAAATTCAAAACTCTACTCAATCCCGCGCGGGATTTTTAAAAAAACCGCGATTTGCCCATCATAATCACTGTAGATCGGGCTTTTCTAGCTGGTAAGTCCGGATTTGGAAATACCCGAGGTCAAAAGAACACGTACCTGCTTCAGGTCACGTTTCCGGACTCTACGGCGTATCTATTAGGCCACGCAAAGTTGATTTTTCGGTTTGTATTACCCACCGACCCATTTTTTAAAATTTTCAAAAAAATTATTAATTTATTTAAGCCCCAATTGTGCTAATTATTCTGCCATTTAATTTTCCCCATAAATTAGTCCGGTATCACCCGGTAGAGACATTATTTTCCGAAATTATTCGACATAACTGATAAAAACAAAATCCGACTGCAGATCCAATTTTCTGATTCCATGTTATGCAAAGCGAAAAAATAACTTTGCATTACCTTAAATGTGAACTTGAGTCTATTAATTATTAGATTAAAAAACCCCGACCGACCGACCAGGGATTTTGAAATCCATGTAATTCAAAACGAAAATCAACTTTATGTGGCCTTATCTTTCATATAAGCCACAAATCTGGTTATCCTCCGATAATAACCCTAGCGTGACTATCGTCAACGCATATGGTTATTGCCTATCCTCTGAATCCAAATAAATTATCATTTATAGTTATACAAATTCGAATCAAAACCTAATCTGAGTGCCTAAGCACATTCTTTTATTAATGGTTTTAAATTTTGTTCAAAATTAGATATTTTTGATTCTTACGAGAACGATGGCTTTCACTTTTAAATATGTAAAAATTGTTTATTTGTTTATGAATGTTTATTGATATTTTATTTTAATTAAACTTGTTTAGCATCGACATGAAGAGCATTTTTTTTAGTAAAGTGATGCTTTTCACGGACTTATTTATTAAAATTCAGTTCATAATTAAATACAGGTTTTAAATATAAATGCACGCGAATAAAATTGTTGTATGTCAAACTAATTATTAAAGCAATATTTAGTATGTCTTAGTCATAAATTAAAGCTAAATCCAAATCTATTAACGACTCCGCACCATCACATTAGCCTCACACAGCCTTGACATAATTAAAACCACAATAGTATATACGTATTATACGCGTAATTCTTTTGTTTATTTGATTGAAAAGTTAAAAGATATCATATTATGTATTTGTTTATTGACCTTGGTTTTAAACTAAATTTTTTTTCTTAAAAAAAAAATTATAAAAGCGTGTTTTTGTTTGTAATAATGAATACAAAAACTAAGAAAATTAGGACTTTAAAAATGTTGCTAAAAACTAAATTTTTACAAATTTTGATATTAGTTATTACTTATATGGCTAATAAATCTGAGGAATCGAATTGGACAAAGCAAATATATCCATGTAAATTTTTCATTTATTCTATCATTTTTAACATGTAATTACAGTACAGTATAAGACTTTCCTATCTTATTTAAATTGATAAATTAATTTATTAATTTTTATTAGATCGAAATATTTCTACTAAATCTATCATAAATATTACTAGTCATGAAACCGAAGAATGTAAAGATTTTGATATAAAACTTCCTATATTTGAAATTACTGGTAATTTTTGCAAAATTGAAACTGGAAATATAGTAGGAAATTTTTCTTTGGACTTTGACTTGTATTTTTTATTCGGATATATTTCATTTGATCTGAATAATAATACTTGCTTTTCGAGCAAACTTGCTTTGTCAGTTCTTTTTACAGATACTTATAATGCAACTTTACAGCTTTTCTGTTTCTAATCGAATAAATTAGTATTTTTTTTCTTCTTTCCAAATTTTCATACTTCACTTACTACGTATAGTAGTTTATTTATATATGAATAGTTAGACAAATTAGGTTCATTAAAAAATTCATAAAAGAAATTTACCGAATTTCACGCGGATAATACGGATATGTTTTAATTTTAAATTTATAGGCGCATACGGTACAGCGCTGCATATACATGCGAATATAATTAACATATGTAGGAAATAGGTAGTTATTCTGGTATTTAAAAAAAAAGATTATTGGGAAGTATAGCTGACAAATCGGCTGCGTAAGCAGCCGATTTGTCAGTTATACTTCCCATATCAGGTTTCATTTTGTTAGCGAATCTACACGTCTAATTTTCAATTAAATAAATTGTAGTAGGCTATTAAATCTCAGTGATAAAAACAGGTTATTTTGATTCATGGTGTTTACTGTACCCAAGCGCTGTAGTTCCATTTAATTCGTGTTAAATTAATCAATGCATATAAAGATCGGTGTGACGAGATAAGCTGATGGTCTTTACTGATCTTACTGGTCCTGTGCGGCATCGCGTGCTGCGCAGCTATCTTATAGTTTACTACGCACAAGTAATATCGGTACGGTAGCTGACTACCCTAGTACTAGTATCGCCATCAAAAATTTATAGTTTTACTACGCACAAGTAATATCGGTATGGTAGCTGACTACCCTAGTATCGCCATCAAAAATTTCACTCCCACATTATGAAGATCCTATTAATAAATTCGAAGGTTTTTTAATACTTCTAGCGATGTTTTTTCAATAACCACTTAATGAAATACGATAAAATTTTTTTTATTTTAATTATAAAATTATGTAGAATTAAAGAAAAAAAAAAGTACATTGAATTTGGTTAAGTGTTGTCGAGAAATCATCGCCAAAAGTATTAAAACGCTTAAAATATGTTGGGAAAAAAATACTAAAATCGTGAATTTTTCTTTTTTTTTTGAAATTTAAACAAATATTTCTTAACACCCAAACTATCCAAATTCGATAAATTTTTTATTTTAATTCTGTGGATCCATAAAATCAAAATAAAAAAATTGAGCGAATTAGAATAGCTAGTTGTCGAGAAATATTCTTTGAAAGTTAAAATTTGGCCGCAGCTTTTTTTAAAGGCATCAAAACTTTGAACGAAGATAACTCAGCACTTACCTTATCAAATTCGATCAATTTTTTTTTATTTTAGTTCTATGAATTTATGAAATTAGAATAAAAAATTTTGGCTGAATTTGATTAGGTAAATGCTGAGTTATCTTCGATCAAAATTTAGATGTCTTTAAAAAAAAGATGCGGCCAAATTTTTTTTGACTTTTAATAAATATTTCTCGACAACTTGCTATTTTAATTCGCCCAAAAATTTTTATTTAATTCTATGGCTCCACAGAATTAAAATAAAAAAATTTTTATCGAATTCTGATATTTGGGTGTCGGGAAATCTTTGTTTAAAGTTTAAATTAAAAATTTATTGCAATGTTTTTTTTCCTTAAAATTTTTAAAAAAAGCTTTAAACAAAGAGTTTTTGACACCCAACTATCTAAATTCGATAAATATTTTTATTTTAATTCTGTGGAACCATAAAATTAAAATAAAAAAATTGAGCGAATTAGAATAGCTAGTTGTCGAGAAATATTTATTAAAAGTCAAAAAAAAATTGGCCGCAGCTTTTTTTTAAAGACATCTAAATTTTGATCGAAGATAACTCAGCATTTACCTGATCAAATTCGATCAAAATTTTTTATTTAATTTCACAAATTCATAGAACTAAAATAAAAAAATTATTCGAATTTGATGAGGTAAGTGCTGAGTTATCTTCGTTCAAAATTTAGATTCTAAAAAAAAAGCTGCGGCCAAATTTTTTTAACTTTTAAAGAATATTTCTCGACAACTAGCTATTCTAATTCGCTCAATTTTTTTTATTTTAAACTAAAAAAAATTTATCGAATTTGGATAGTTGGGTTGTCAAGAAATATTTGTTTAAATTTTAAAAGAAGGAAAAATTCACGATTTTAGTATTTTTTCTAACATATTTTAAGCGTTTATAATACTTTTAGCGATGATTTCTCGACAACTACTTAACCAAATTCAATGAGCATTTTTTTATTTTGATTCTACAAAACCTTATAATTAAATAAAAAAACTTTTATCGTATTTCATTAAGTAGGTATTGAGAAAACATCGCTAGAAGTATTAAAAAACCTTCGAATTTATTATCAAATATTTATGTAACACAGATCACGTGGAGTGAAATTTTTGATGGGTAGTCTACCGATCACCGCATAATCGTGATTTGTCACACGACTCTAAAAGCCAGTATCTTTGAAATAAGAAGATAAAGAATTGTTAGAACTAGTAATTCCCGGTATAGTAAAGAAAGATTACAAGTCTAAATAAGGAGACTTATCCGAAGCCCGTAAACAACATTACAAGGCCCGAAGAACCTTAAACCTCGGACCAAGTCTTTCCATGCTTCTTCCGAAGCCTTCCACCTTAAGGTTTTAGGTGTCTTGCAGCCAAAAGATTGGATTAGTTAGTAGTTTAGTTTGATAGATTAGTTAGATTTAGTTTGAATCATTAGTCCCAACCTTCTCAATGTACGCATAATTTCGAAGCCCCTCAACCGATGCGATTGACCGACTCTGTAAAACAATATCAGGCATAATGTAACAGCGTACGTACATACGTACTACCACTACTGCTACGCCGAACTTTGGTTTGGAAAAATTAAATGCCGTGGAATATAGTACGTATGTAAAAAAAAAACTACTGTATATATCGTTGATGAATACAATACTTCAACTAAGATTAGTACATACAAAAAGTTACGGCAAATATACCCGAAGAATGGCTTGAAAAAGCTATTTCCGAAGGACATATTAATTATATCGAATATAATAAATTTACAGACCCTATTTTGATCGGCATTGGAGGTTTTGGAAAGGTTATTAAATACGAGTGGAGTGACAGTGAATTAAAGGTTGCACTTAAATGTCTTAAAGTTGACACAAACATAGATGAAAAGACTATTAAAGATTTTATTAATGAGGTATTATTTGTTAAATTAAAACTTTAATAATAATATCCTACTTTAGAATATTAAATTTTATATAATTCATATAATTAATTAGCTTAAACTATTACGAAAAGTTTCTAGCCATCCAAACGTTATTTCATTCTATGGAATGACGAAAGGTAACCAGGCAATTTATAATTTTTAAAGTTGTCAAATAATAATATGCTAAGCGAACAATTATATATAGATAACAATGGATTTTATAATATGGTTTTACAATACGCTGACGACGGAACTTTACGAGAATTTTTAACGGCAAGTTTTACAAAATTACAATGGATAGATAAACTACGCATTGCTAAGGAAATAGCACTCGGACTCTTATTTTTACATGATAATAATATTATTCATAGAGATCTGGTAAGGACTTTGTTATATTTAATATGTTTTAGATTTATGAGTTATTAATTTACTAATTCGTACGTACTTTAATCATTATACTTTGATAATTTAGCATTCGAAAAACATCTTAATTCATCAAAGACAGCCAAAGATTACAGATTTTGGATTATCGAAGCAGATAAATGATATGTCTATGACTTCAAACTCAATTATTTATGGAATGCCGGCATATATCGAGCCTCAATGTCTTATTAAGCAAGGATATAAGCGTGACAAGAGATCGGATATCTATAGTTTTGGGATAATCCTCTGGGAAATTTCAAGCTGAAGATCTCCATTTCAAACCTTCGAATCCAAGATGGAACTCTGTTTTCATATATATAAAGGAAACAGAGAAGAACCTATAGAAGGTACACCATCTCAATATATTGAACTTTACAAACAATGTTGGGACAACGATCCTGCCAATCGCCCAGAAACAAAATTAATTCTTAATACTTTAATGCAACTTATTCCTATTGAAACTTTGAGTCAAAGCGATCCTATTGAAACACCATTTCAAAATAGTAAAATTCATTTAAGTCAAGATAATACAAACGTATTCAAAAATTCATTTGAAGTCACGACTTCATCTCCACTTTATTTACCTGACGTGATTAATCCAAATACTTCTGCGCAGGACAATAGTGCTCTTGAGAAAAACAGCCATTATAGTCCCGATGATCAAAAAAGAGCTACAACTTGGAATCTTTCTTATATATGTAATGGAGAGAAAATAAACGAGATTACAAAGGCACTTTGCGAGAACACCTCCTCAACAACTTTAGTTCTCAATAATAATAAATTTGGACCAGAAGTAGTATATGTATTAGCTGATGCTCTTTGTAAGAACACCTCCTTAACAACGTTAAATCTCGAGTTTAATGGTCTTGGATCAGAAGGAGGAAAGGCGTTAGCAGATGCACTTTGCAAAAACACCTCCTTAACAACGTTAAATCTCAATAGTAATTATATTAGATCAGAAGGAGGAAAAGCGTTAGCAGATGCACTTTGCAAGAACTCCTCCTTAACAACGTTAAATCTTGAGAGGAATGATCTTGGATCAGAAGGAGGAAAAGCATTAGCAGATGCACTTTGCAAGAACTCCACGCTAAAAGAATTGAATCTTCAATATAATAAACTTGGATCAGAAGGAGGAAAAGCATTAGCAGATGCACTTTGCATGATCTCCTCCTTAACAATGTTAAATCTCGAGAGTAATGATCTTGGATCAGAAGGAGGAAAAGCATTAGCAGATGCACTTTGCAAGAACTCCACATTAAAATATTTGAATCTTAAATTTAATGATCTTGGATCAGAAGGAAGAAAAGCATTAGCAGATGCACTTTGCAAGAACCCCTCCTTAACAACGTTAAATCTCATTTGTAATAATCTTGGATCAGAAGGAGGAAAAGCATTAGCAGATGCACTTTGCAAGAACTCCTGCTTAACAACGTTAAATCTCTATAATAATAATCTTGGATCAGAAGGAGGAGAAGCATTAGCAGATGCACTTTG